GAGAGAGAGAGAGAGAGAGTTGAAGTAATACCAATAAAACAAGGATAGAATGGGAAGAAAGATATGTGGATGAGAAAGATATGGGTAGATTATACTGAAAATGTTGGAAGACAGAACTTTATCAAAATCACTTAATAAATAAATATTATCCTACATCAACGTAAGATTATGACATAAATCTAGAAAAAGCATCTACAATAGAAATTTGGCGACTCACTTTTATGTGATCTTTAATTATGTGCGTATACTAAACTAATCCAATCTACTATTCTTAAATAGTTGATCCTCACTAAGTCAATTCTCTTAGCATGCGGCTTTTCACCTCACAAATTGTACCATGTCAGCATTCACTAACACTATTTTGCAACCCCATATAAACCACATGCATACTCTTTGTTTACACATAATGCAAGTATGGGACATTTCTGCATTAAAAAATAGTAGTTGTTGATCTGGATCATTTTCTTCATACATAATACATTTGGAATTAATCTTCAAATTCCCGCCGCTATGCGCGAGGAAATCACCTAGTATACATAAGAGAGTGATCCTCACTAACTTATTTATCTCAACATGCAAGCATGCCACCTCATCATACCGTTATGAATGGGATAAGATGCACCTCAACGTGTAACCATGCATGAAGAAAGATCCATCACAATACTCAACCATGCATGGAATAATGTTTTCCATTCATTGGTTCTACTTATATATATTCAATAAATATTTTACAACTCTACATAATCAAATATAACAAGTCATATGTATTTACAAAAATTCTCATGTTATCAACCCAAATTTTCATTAAGAACCCGCAACAATGCGCGCGGTATCCTCTAGTAACATAAACAAACCACACATCCAGTTAGAAAAAATATGGGTGAAGACTTCTCCTATGCAATTGCGTGAAACACTGCTGGTTGGGTGTGACTAGCTCTTATCTAGATGAGAAATAACTATGTCTCATCTAACTCGTACACCTTCAAATTTTACACGAAGATTTGTGGGAATTTTTCAGTTATTTTTTTGTTTGGTTAATGAAATAGTGTAAGAATTAGATGAGACTTTGTTAATTCTCGTCAAGATGAGAATTAGCAAATCCGCTACTTGTTTATAGATGGGCAACGACATAACTTAAAACCTCCATGCGAGATAAAACGACATACTTAGGTTCAAATCTCCCCGCAAAAGAAAACGGCATACTTAGCTTGAAACCTCCGGGGAAAGAAAACGACATACTTAGCTTGAAAACCTCCCCGCAAAAGAAAACAAAATAGCCATCAAAATCTATATACCTAATAATAAAGGGGCTATTGCTTTTGGCGATACGTCATAAAAATTACCAATAATTACCCACTATGCCATCCATAAGTGAAAAAATGTTTTGTTTCACTGGATAGACCGTTTTGTTTGTGTTATGTAGAGTGTGGTCCCTAACATGTCACATCCACATAGCTAGCATAGTGGCAAACACCTCCCTTGTCTACTCACTAGACTCGGGTTCAATCCCAATCACGTCCCTTTTTTCCACTTCTCTTTTTGTGCAAATTCAAATGCTTTTTAAAATATTCATATCTTTCAAACCCTAACTCCGAATCTAACATGTTACATATAAATCCCTCAGAAAATGTGTATATTTTAATTATGCTATTATCTTGCATGTTAATCATTTTTATAATTAAGTATATATGATACTCAACCATTAACTTGAGTAAATATGATATTCAACCATGACGTTGTTGTTTGTTGTGTGGAGATCTCAAGGGATTTGTTGATATTGTCCAGGGTTTGTACGAGGGGGTGATTTTTTTTTTGCCATGTTCCAACGCGCAGGCATGTTTGCTAGTAGCAGTAAATAATATAGATAGGTATTAATAAATATATTTTTGTGGATGAGATAGTATTAATAATATGACGAAGCAAGGTAATTACATGGAGTATATTTAAATTGAAAGTCCCGATAATTGCATGCATGTACTAAACCATAGAAATTAATGCACTCCTACATAGGGTTGGTCAAAATTAATGGGCAGGCAAGTTCTAAAAATAGATGCATTTAGTGAGTACGTACCTCGGTCCCGAAGAACCGCAACATGCAAGGCATTTTGTCCATCTGCTCCGGAATGGGAGAGATTGCCACGACTCATATGATATAGAATCAGTGCAATGGTACTCTTCCCCAGCAAGATGGCTAGATACAAGGGTGAAACACCATCTGCAGGATAATTAGCCAATTCGGCATCAGCACCCATTAGCAGCTTCACAATATTCCTTTCTTCTGGTGTGCCCTCCGCATCACCCAGACTTTTACCGTCTTCATTTAGGACACCCCCTATCTCGTCACGCTTATTCTTTTCTTCTCTGGCGGGGTCAGCAGCACCAATAAATGCTTCCTTCTCCTCATAACGCAGACCTCTACCGTATTCAAATCGTACAGCCTGGTGGAGGGCCGTCTCGTGACGGTTATTTTCCATTCTCAAAAACCGGAGCTTCGTGTCGGCACCTTCACGAGCAGCTAGATGAATGAGATAAGAAACCATTCTGGGTTGCCCAACTCTGGCAGCACGATGTAACGGTGTGTCGCCATTGTGATTCCTGGAAAACAGGATTCTCTTGTCCCTGTTACAGATGATGCCCGCATACTTCAAGAAATTTCGGCCCCCTCCATTGGTGACCACATGCAGTGCAGTATCCCCTTGAGGGGTGAGGCCCTTGAGGAGTGCTCCAGCTGCAACCGAAGATACAGGCTGGTCGTCGACGCCCTCTTCTACATCACCAGCAGCTGACACCGGGATTCTTCCCTGGGCGCTGCTGCTTCTCGCTATCAACTGAAGAAACTTGCGAGTAGGAACCATCATTTGTGGCTTTTTTGCGTCTTCCCTCTCCAGAAGGAGATTCAGCGCTTCCCAGGAGCCCCCACGCGCAGATGCCAGAAGTAGGGGGTTGATAATGTTACCGGCAGGGGGTTGGTCCTCCCCGGGAGGCTTCTTGCTCGTCGCCGTCACCACAACCATCGCCATGGCATCCTCCTGGTTCAGCAGATCCTTCAACTTCTTGACATCGCCACGGTCAGTGGCCACCATCGGCTTGGCGTCCATGGCCAGTGTGTGGTTTGATAGTTGGATGAAGTGAGTGAGGTTGGTAGTGCTCCCAACTCGTGTATGGGCGCACTCTTAAAAGTTGTACAAGTGTGAAGTCTTCTCTCTTCTCCGTTTAACCAAGTTGTGTTTTTAATTAGTTGCTCTCTCGCTCCCAAGTCGTAATGAATTGTTTCTGGCTTGATGGTGAGTTGGTGACCTGGTGGAGCCTCTTTCGGGGCAAATGGCGTTATGGGCACTGAACATGTGCAAGGCCACATGAACACTTGCTCTAAACCTGCTCTTGTATTAGTCTATCTTGATGATGACCTCGAGACGTGCAAGGAGACATGAACATTGGGTCTATAAACCTACTCCTGTAATCTATCTTCACGACGTCCTCGAGATGTGCAAGGCCACATGAACACGCTGCTATCGTCCAAAATGTCAATGTCGACCGGGTGTCATATATAACTTCTTTAAGCAGAAGCATTGCCGTCGGTGGAGATCTATCGTTCCCTCTTCTACAAACGCACCAGGAGTACAACGTCTTCAATTATTGTTTTTTTCTTTTTTCTTTTTGGACAATGGGAGGCCATGTTGAAATAGTTGGTTAGAGATAGAGTTGTATAGGGATAGGTATCTTGTTTAAATCTTGTACCCTTCTCTATCTCTTCTTCTGTTAGCTCTCCTCGCAATCCTTCTGTAACGATCGTTTCCTGTAACGATCGATCTCTCTCGATCTCATCTTGTAAGCCACGGCATTGCCTCTATATATACAAGTGCGGCCCGAGCAAAGGGTTCTACGCTTCCCATATCGTCTTACATGGTAACAGAGCCTCTTCCTCATTAGATCGAAAGAGATTGCATCTAGCTACCGCCGGCGACCGAGATCATGTCCACCACCACCGCTGCCATGACCGCAAGCACCATGGGTGCACTCACCACCTCCTCATCTTCCACCTTTGCCTCCTCCTCCACCACCAATACCACCTCCCTCGGATCGCCGCCCCACAAGAAGCTGACGAGGGGCAACTTCCTGCTCTGGAAGGCCGTCGTGCTGCCTCAGATCAGAGGCGCACAGATGGAGCACCACCTCGACGAGAAGAGCCCGCCACCGCCGGCCACTCTCACCATCACCAAGGACGGCAAAGAAGAACAAGTTGTCAATTTTGCACGATCCCTCTGGTATGCACAGCAGCAACAACTTCAAGGGTACTTGATGGGTTCCTTTTCCCGTGAGATCCTTGCACAGGTCGCCACGCTCCAGACACCGGCCGAGGTGTGGCGCGCCATCCACGCCATGTTCGCTGCACAAAGCCAAGCCCAGGCGATCAACACTCGAATCGAGCTCACCAACCTCAAGAAAGGTAACATGTCCATGTCTGACTACCTTGGCAAGATTAAAAGTCTCACCGATGAAGTCGCAAGCACTGCTGCGGCGCTCTCTGATCCGGAGATCGTCTCCAAAATTCTCGCTGGCCTCGACATGGAGTACAACCCGGTGGTCTCTGCGCTTGCCGCCCGGGTCGAGCCCATCACCGTCCAGGAGCTGTACAACCAACTGCTCAGTTTTGATGCCCGCCTCACCCTCCTGCATGGCGGCGACCTTCGCCAATCCTCCGTCAACTCTGCCTCCCGTGGCCGCGGCCGTGGGCGCGGTCACCAGGGGCAACGCGGCGGCGGGCGCGGGCGCGGCGCTCCCCAGGGTGACGGCGCGCGCTCTGGTGGGGGCTCTGGCTCCAACGGCGGTGGCGGCTACAACACTAACGGCGGCGGCGGCTTCAACAACAACAACGGACGCTGTTCGTCCTCATGTGGTCGCCCTCGTTGCCAGCTTTGCAAGAAGTCTGGCCATGAAGTGATCGACTGTTGGCATCGGTACGACGAAGACTACGTGCCTGACGCCTGCCATGTCGCTGCTGCCATGCGTGAACAGGGCGGCGGCGAGGGTGTCTGGTACGTGGACTCTGGCGCTACGGATCATGTGACCAATGAGCTCGAGCAGCTTGCTCTTCGCGAGCGCTACCATGGCGGTGACCAGATTCACACCGCAAGCGGTGGAGGTATGGATATTTTTCACATCGGTCAAGGTTCTATTAATTCCCCTACATCTAGTTCTTCGAGATATACTTCATGTTCCACAAGCAGACAAGAATCTTGCCTCCATGTCTCATTTAGCCACCGATAATAATGTCTTCTTTGAGACTCACCCTCGTTATTTTTTCATCAAGGATCGGGCAACGAGGGAACTCCTTCATCACGGTAGATGCGTTGGAGGACTCTACCCAATTCCATCCGGAGCACTAGGTCGCAGGCGTCGTCAAGTCCACTCCGTCATCAAGCTCTCTTTGGCACGGTGGAATCAACGTCTAGGACATCCGTCTTCAGTCATCGTCAAACAAATAGTCAATAAAGACAAACTTCTTTTGTCTCATAGTCAAAATAATGAGTCTGTGTGTGAAGCTTGCCAATGTGCCAAGAGCCATCAGCTTCCTTATCCCAAGTCAATTAGTGTGTATCATGCTCCGTTAGAACTTATTTTCAGTGATGTATGGGGTCATGCTCGAGACTCCTTTGGCAGAAAAAAGTATTATGCCAGTTTCATTGATGATTATAGCAAGTTCACTTGGATATATTTGCTTACATATAAATCCGAAGTTTTCTCTATCTTCCAAGAATTTCAGAAACTTGTTGAGCGTCAATTTGATAGAAAAATCCTTTCCGTCCAAAGTGACTGGGGAGGGGAGTATGAGAAACTCAACTCCTTCTTTCGTAGCATTGGGATAGCTCATCATGTGTCTTGTCCCCATGCCCATCAACAGAACGGGTCTGCTGAGCGCAAACACCGCCACATCGTTGAAGTCGGTCTCTCTCTTTTAGCTCATGCGTCCATGCCCCTCAAATATTGGGATGAAGCTTTTATCACCGCCACTTATCTTATTAATCGTCTTCCCAGTAGAGTCATTGGCAATTCTACTCCATTAGAGCGGTTGTACAATCAAAAACCTGATTATAACTATCTCAAAACCTTTGGATGTGCTTGCTATCCTAATTTACGTCCTTACAATCGCCACAAGCTTGAGTTTAGGTCTACACAATGTGTTTTCCTTGGCTATAGCAATCTTCACAAAGGCTATAAGTGCCTTGAGATTGCTACTGGACGCATCTACATATCTCGCGATGTTGTTTTTGACGAAACTGTCTTTCCTTTTTCCAAACTTCATCCCAATGCTGGCGCCTTGCTTCGTGCTGAGATTGCACTTCTACCAGACTATGATCACGGGGGCGCGTTAACTGAACCTGATCATGTGCAAAAATCCAAAGAAAATTCTATTTCTGTTGATACTTGTGCTAATTCTGGGCGTCATTTCATGTATGAGGAAACAAACAAAACAGGTGCGGAAACCCACGCTGATCCAGCTGATAGCGGGAGATCCCAGGCAGATTCGCCCGCCAGATCTGCCTTCGCTGACAGCGCGGGATCCCAGGTGGATCTTCCACCCGTGCACGCGGCTGCATGCAGGCTGGTGGCCGACCGTCCCGACCAAGTGGATCCCACTGGTCCAGATTCGCCCACGAGCCCACACGACAGGCGCGCCAACCCAGGAGCTGGAGAGGCCCAGTCACCCGATGCCACGTCTCAGCGGGTCCAGGTGGACCACGGGTGCGCGGGTGCGTCACCCAACGCAGCCTCTCTGCGGGTCCAGGCAGACCGTGGATGTGCGGCCGATCGTACGCACGAGGACAGATCTTCCTCGGATCAGGAGCTGGCTGGCTCGCTGGTTGTCTCGGATCGTGAGAGGGCCGGATCTTCTGTGGTTGGTTCTGCTTCGCCCGGATCGCATGCACCATCTGCAGAAACTGCTCCTGTGCCTACGCCCTTTCGCCGAAATACAAGGTCTCGGTCAGGTATTGTTAAGGAGAAACAATATAATGATGGTACAATAAGGTATGACAAACTCAAATGAGCTTTTCTTACCACTACTGGTGAACCAATCAATTTGCATGATGCCCTTGAAAATAAAGAGTGGAAGGAAGCTATGGATAATGAGTATAATGCACTTATGAAAAATAAGACATGGCATTTAGTACCACCGAAACATGGCAACAATATCATTGATTGTAAGTGGGTATATAAAATAAAGAGAAAGTCTGATGGAAGCATAGACAGGTATAAGGCAAGATTAGTTGCAAAAGGGTTTAAACAAAGGTTTGGAATTGATTATGAAGATACCTTTAGCCCTGTTGTTAAGTCAGCTACTATTCGACTTGTCTTGTCTATTGCAATTTCCAGAGGTTGGAGTTTAAGACAGCTAGATGTCCAGAACGCATTTCTTCATGGTGTTCTTGAGGAAGAAGTGTTCATGCGGCAACCACCGGGATATGAGAATCAAAGCACACCACAGTATGTACGTAAGTTGGACAAAGCATTATATGGTTTGAAACAAGCCCCACGAGCTTGGTATTCCAGGTTAAGCATGCAGTTACAACATCTTGGGTTCACACCATCTAAGGCAGATACTTCCTTATTCTTTTATAACAAAGGGAATATCACTATCTTTGTGCTTGTTTATGTTGATGATATAATTGTTGCTAGTTCAAGCTCAGATGCCACTATCTGTCTACTTAAGGATCTGAAGCTAGAGTTTGCTCTCAAGGACTTGGGTGATCTTCACTATTTTTTGGGAATTGAGGTAAAGAAAATTAAAGATGGTATACTTCTCTCTCAGGAAAAATATACTAATGATATTCTCAGAAGAGTGGGATTGGAGCATTGCAAGCCTGTAAGTACACCAATCTCTACCTCAGAAAAGCTTACAGTTGAATGTGGAGAAGCACTTGGGTCAGAAGATGCAACAAATTATAGAAGTGTTGTAGGTGCTCTACAGTATTTAACACTTACACGTCCTGATATTTCCTATTCAGTAAATAAGGTCTGTCAATACTTGCATGCACCCAGAACTACTCATTGGACTGCAGTGAAGAGAATTCTCAGATATCTAAAATTTTCAGAAGGA